TCAAGCAAGTACAGACATTTAACCATCGGCAAATTATTAACATTGTAAACAAAGAGAAGACTAAACAGAAAGGATATATTTTTGTCAGCAAGAAAACAGCCCAAGATACGATCTATAAATTGGTAATGGTAGAATCAAGCAGGTACAGAAATTTAAATATCGGCAAATTATTAACATTGTAAACAAAGTGAAGACTAACCAGAAAGGATATATTTTTGTTAGCAAGAGAAATATCCCAGGATACGACCTACGAGTTCGGAATGTTAGAATCAAGCAAGTACAGACATTTAACTATCGGCAAATTATTACTGGAACATAAATCTGAAAGCGCGTTTTAATAGTGAAATATGCCTCTTGTAGGCTAAACAAAATATTAAGGGATTAAATTTTCATCAGAAAGTAATAAAGACCTGCTATGCAATATCAATCTTCCCTTATACGGCAGAGAATGTCTGGATAGTTTCCTCACAGACGAAGAGACAGCAAAAATGTGGTTCAATAGAATGATGCTGAAAAAAAAAAAAACATGGGCGGAACATGCGAGGAAATTTTAAGGAAAATATAAACGAAAATAGAATTTATTAAAACAACTGAAATTTCTGGGTCGATGGCTCGGATAATTCAACACTTACAGGACATATTCAAGTTAAGAGTAGCAAAGGGAAACGTCTAGGAACCTACCGGAAGTGCAGGTGTAAATGGATGTCAGAAAAGTGACTGGTAGGTGTAGTAAGGGTTCAAAAATTCATCATCATCCTTTGACCTCCCTGTGGTTGATCGTAATTCCATTTCCACATTGGTCGGTCCGGCACTGCCGTCCCCATATTCCCAATGACCAACACTGAGTCCTGTGCCATTGTGCCTGGGAAAGTTAACTTCCGTGAGAAGACACCTCCAGAAGGATGCCATAGAAGTAAGGATAAGACCTCCTTTCCGTTCGCTCGGTTGCAGTGGCCCGCATACGGTAATCGCTTTTGTTTGAGTTTAAGAGAGTTTTTGTTTTTGTTTCACACTTGTAAAAGAAAGCTGTTGATCACAGTACTTCTAATGGAACTGCTGTTTTTAATTTTGCTAATAAACGCTCGTCAACAAGATTAACTAAAGCACTGATTCCCAAAAGGTGCAGCACACCTCATAGTCGCGGCGAAAGAGGATAACAGGCGAGGCGCAATGATTAAAAGACAATCAAAGATTTAGAAAGAGTTTCCTGAAAATTCATATGCCAAAAATAAATATTATTTCAAAATGAAAAATTTATTATGGATTATTTATAATTGCATGCACGTGTCCCTGTATAATTTTTTATAAATAATTATTGGCCGATTTTATCATTGTATAAATTTTTTTATTGTATCAAGTATTAAGAATATAGTAACTAGGTTCCGTAAATTGGAGGAGAGAGTTATCAATGATAATGTTCTAGCTTTGAATCCGCACTTTAATCCTCTCATTTTGTTGCATAAAATTTGGAGAGCAAATTTTCATTACGAAAAAAAAAACCTAGAGAAAATAAATTTAGGAAACATGAGGACTTTTTTTATAAGAGTTTGCCAAATGGAAATTACATATTGTAAATTTCAGCCTGTTTTATATAGAACATTGATTGATTTCATGGTTTTACAGCCTATCCACCCTTTGCAGTTTATTTATAGCCAGAAAATACTTTTAGACTATACGAATTATTTTTGGACATAATAATGATTTACCGATACAGGTTTTACTAATTAACCTAAAAACAAGAAAAGATGTGACGGATATATATATATATATATATATATATATATATATATATATATATATATATATATATATACTGATATTCACCGCTGCATAATACACCGCTATTTCTTTATACACGCATATATATATATATATATATATATATATATATATATATATATATATACTAGCAGTAGTCCGGGGATGTAACAGTAAGAGATAGATCAAGTATCGACCATCATAAAGACTGAAAAATAAAATTGACAAAGATTATTGTTTAAGGTTGACGGACACGCATGTTAATGAGTTTTTTTTTTTACGAATTGGTCAAACCCAAACTCAAACAAAAACATTGTTTTCTATCGTTATGAGTCTATCGATTGAATAGAATTTTATTATAAACAATTGTTTTGTAAATGGAATTTTTAGAGCATTTTGAATGTAAAAATAAAGAAAAAAGTGTGCAAGACAATAAGAAACACTACCTGCCAAAAAAAGTGAAGTTTTGTTGAAATCAGTTGAAAAATGTAGGAAATCCGATCCCATATATAAAACGAACACACACACACACACACACACACACACACACACACACACACACACACACACACAAACAAACACACGCGCGCGCAACCTGGGTTTTATAATAAGTATAACTCGATGTGAGTTGTCCCCCTTTCATTCTGGCGACTTAATCGTGTTTTCAATTGATTTCGTGCAAAAACAATTGTGTTTTTCCAATTTTTGGCGCTGTCAGAACCACTGCAAGGTAATTTTACGTAGTCCTGTGAAGTTTTGTTGAAATTAGTTGAAAAATGTAGGAAATCCGATCCAATGTATAAACGTACAGACACACAACCTGGGTTTTATAATAAGTATGATATTGATATATATATATATATATATATATATATATATATTAACGGTTTTTTTTTAAAGTCACTCATTTTCTTGCTTTTCTTTCAATACGAGATATGACATCTTAAAAAGTACTAATGATTTCTTTTTTAAGCATACACACAAATCCACACACGCATTGTTTTCGTCTTTGATCTGATGAAGCTTTGAAATGCGGAACGCGTAATCAAATCTAATTTCAATGAAACGGCTTTACATTTCTCATATTTCTTCAAAAACTTTCGGGATTGTATATACTATATCGTGGTCAAAGAAGAAAAAAAATTAATGACTTTTTAAATGATAATATCTATTCTGTATCTTTTATTTACAATTCTTAGTTCATCTCGAAAGTTGTTAATATTTTCCTAGCATTTTTGTATCGAATTAAAGGTAAGTCCATTTCTCATTTTCAGAAGGGTTTGAAAGCAAGAAATTCCTATAGTGTATTCTGAAATGAATCCAATGTAAACCCTCATCTAATCCCTCAGAATGGCTTGAAAGTATAAATATATATATATATATATATATATATATATATTATATAAAAGACATTTTTTATGTTTAACGTTGTTATTTTATAGATATTAAACATAAAAAATGTCTTTAATAAATAAATTGTCGGACCTTGTCCATTTCTTAACATATATATATATATATATATATATATATATATATATATATATATATATATATATATAAAAAAAAGAACAGTAAGATATAAAATCCGGTGTTCTTATAGATATTTTTACAAAATATGGTTTTTCGCTACAAAAAAGTTACTCCAAAATTCGCTTGAAGATGAAATGGAACTAATGCTTTTAATTTAATTGCAAAATTAAATTCGGGGTTTTTAGCTTCTATTTTTGAAACATGGTTGGAACTGTGTAGCGAAAAAAAACATATTTTAAATCAATTAATTTATATATATATATATATATATATATATATATATATATATATATATATATACTAGAATACAATCCTAAGGAGCCAGGCAAACCTACGTAGGTTTTTCATCTAAACGGATCTTCAGGGTAAACTGAAGCAAGTTTACCCTGAAGATCCGTTTAAGATTTATTCTAGTTTATCGCTATTGAAAATTAGGATTTTTTCTAGTTTATCGCTCTACTTAGCGTATTGAGCACTCTATGTTTTAGTGTTTCTACTCGTTTGTTTTTTTTTTTCTCTTGACTAAGGACTTTAAGCACTTGACGATTAGTTTCGTCTTGTTCTGATGTTTTTAGTTCTTTCTTTTTTATTTCAATTTTTCCTCGTGTACCGATTTGTCCTGACATCTACATGTGGAGCTATTCGAGGTTTTCTAAACGAGTACTACTATTAATATATATATATATATATATATATATATATATATATATATATATATATATATGTGTGTGTGTGTGTGTGTGTGTGTGTGTGTTTGTGTGTGTGTGTATGTATGTATAAGAGAACAGGCAGATTTGGTATGGCGCCTTAAATAGATATTTTTCTAAAAGCAGGGACGAAATCTAGATTTCAGTGGAAAAGAGAAGAAAGATGACTTGGAAATAAAAAGTCATATTAAATACTGGTCTTATTCACTGTAGAGAACATAATATGAACGTTAATGTTTACAATTCAAGTGCACAAGAAAAAGGAGAGGGAAATCAGCTAACAACTTAAGACTGTCTTGTATAGTGAAACTGTTTGAGAATAATAATTGATGTAGTATCTTAAATAATAGTGTAAATGCCCAGAGCGAATTAAGTCAATTTCACTTTTCATCTGAGCATCAAAGGTACAATTAATAATGGCATAGCAAATTAAGACTATCTTATTATTTAGAAAGAAATGAAGAAACAGCATTATACAATATTGGGCAAAGCGATGTGACGAGATTGAGGCTACAATGCTTTTTAGCATTTAAAATAAAAGGAAAGAAAGAGGAAAGGGTGATAACATAAATACAAAGAAGAAGAAAATAAAGAAGACAGTGAGGATGCAGATGCAGATGATGATGATGATGCAGAAAAAAAAGAGAAAATGTAGAAGATGCTGATATTGCAGAAAAAGATGATGATGATGATGGTAATGATGAAGAAGAAGCTGGTGATGGTGGTGGTGGTGTTGACGGTGGTGGTTGTGTATGTGATGATGCAGAAGAAGATGATGGTGATGACAGCAAGGAAGAATATGCTACTGCTGCTGATGATGATGATAACAATGAATAAGGTAGTGGTTGTGATGGCGGTGCTTGTGCATGTGATGATGCAGAAGAATGTGATGATGATGGTAATTTAGAAGAATAAGATGCTGTTGCCGATGATGATAAAGATGAGGAGGAGGATGTTGATGACGACGTCGACGATGTCAGTGCAGAAGAGGAAGAGGATAATAACGACGGCAATGAAGAAGAAGAAGAAGAAGAAGAAGAAGAAGAAGAAGAAGAAGAAGAAGAAGAAGAAGAAGAAAGCGAAAACGAGAATAAAATTGAAATGACATCTATGGGATTAAAGACGTGATCCCAAAGGAAGATAAAAATGAGATAACGAAAAAAGAAAGAAAGCATCAATTAAGAAAGTCGAAGAAGACGTTCAGAAAAGGAAAAGCGAAAGCTAAAAACATACATTGAATTTGATTGCATTAAGAAAAATAATAGAAGGGAAATAGAAAGAAAGAAAGAACGAAAGAAAGAAAGAACGAAAGAAAGAAAGAACGAAAAAAAGAACGAAAGAAAGAAAGAACGAAAAAAAGAAAGAACGAAAAAAAGAACGAAAGAAAGAAAGAACGAAAGAAAGAGAGAAAGAAAGAACGAAAGCAAGAAAGAAAGAACGAAAGAAAGAAAGAATGAACGAAAGAACGAAAGAAAGACAGAAAGAAAGAATGAACGAACGAAAGAAAGAACGAAAGAAAGAAAGAACGAAAGAAAGAGAGAAAGAAAGAACGAAAGAAAGAAAGAAAGAAAGAACGAAAGAAAGAAAGAAAGAAAGAAAGAACGAAAGAAAGAAAGAATGAACGAAAGAACGAAAGAAAGACAGAAAGAAAGAATGAACGAACGAAAGAACGAAAGAAAGAAAGAAAGAAAGAAAAAAGAAAGAAAGAAAGAAAAAGCAGGCAAAATGAAAGAACACAATAAAATAAAACTTAGAGAAAGTAAAAAAGATTACAGAAATAAAGAATATGAAAAGAAAAAAAAGGAGAAACAAGACAAAAATAAATGAAAGAAGAAAGAAAAGATAACAGCAGAAGCATATAGAATTAAAAGTGAACTAAAAGAAAACATGAAACATCTGAAAGAAAGAAAAATAGCGGAACATTATGGTATTTCTATAGATACCCCCTACCCATTAAATTTTAATTACTTTTAAAGATGCAGAACTGCTTGCTGTTCTTCTGAACAGATTCCGAAGATGTAGTTGGTGGGGACAGAATCTAGAATTGTTGTTTAGTGTTAGGATTTAAACAAGATACAATGAATTTATATGCATTGTTAATTTTGTAAAAAAAACATTTATTTTCCAAATCAAATGTCTGATAAACAAGAAACTATCATTTGTCTGCTGGTAACGCGGTTGGAGTAATGACTAACGATCTAGTCTACTGAGAAAGTAATTAATGCTATCCTTAGTGCTCCAATCTTGCAACCTTGTGCCAAACTTAGCAGAGATTACTATATTACGACAAGCATTTTTTTCTGGGCGTTTTTTTTTCTCTTACTGAATCACGTGTGTTTGATTTAGCAACTCTTTTGGAAAATTAGTTTTTTTACATTTTAGACAAATTCTGCTCTTGAAGATTGTGACTAGCCATTGGTCACTGAGGTGGCCAAATCATCACGTTAGCAAAATAGAAAGTATGCTTACAGAAGTGGTTACTGAAATTAGGAAAAAAAGAATATGAATTATAAGCAATATGGTACAAGTATTATGCGATTTGAAAAGAATGGTCTAATTTGAATTGTATGTTGAAGAACACGATGTACAATGAAAAAAAGGCATTTTAAAAAACTCCTTTCGACATGTACTATTCAGGCTTAACACAAGTGTAAAATTTGTTCAGAAAAAAATGGAAGCAAAAAAGGCACTTATGGCATAACAACAGGAAGAACCAGCTGAAATTTCTGCAAATCGTATGGAGAGGGGGCTTGGAAAATTTTATACGTAGAGGATAGAATGATGACAAGAGGGACAGAGACAAAGGACAGGAAATTGTGGAGAGCCATGGTTACCAACGCCCTGAAGAAATATGGCACAAAGAAGAAGAAGGAGAAGAAGTAGGAGGAGGAGGAGAAGAAGAAGAAGAAGAAGAAGAAGAAGAAGAACTTAACATGAAATGAATGTATTCCTTTTTTATAATTCATCTTGTAAAATATACATAATCTATATAGCTTGTCTGATCATGCGCACCGGCACTTTTTACCTGAATGTTTCAGAGAGCGGTAGGATATCTTAGATTATAATTTGTGCACAATAAATAAAATATTAATTAAATATTCGTAGTAATAATCTTTATCTGAAAAAATAGCACATTTATTATAAGTAGACTTTTTAAATTCATATTTATTTTGTAAACAAGTAATATGAATACAATGAATAAAAGTAATAAAAATAAATATCGCCTCTTTCAGAAATATTAAAAAAAAATTAAGTAATGTACACTTGCAGTATAAAGCACAAGTTGGTTCTGTAGAAGTTGAAGAATCCTAAATAAGCCTAAACAGACGACATTGCTCGGAAACAAGCAACTATTTTGAAGATGAAAAATCACACTGATTTGCAGTATGTATTCAAGTCGAAACGTTTCCGAATAAGTAGTAAACTGATAAAATATAATGACTTAAGTAGATTAAAAACCCTAATATAGATATGTTTCTAATATAAAAGATGAGCTGACTCCATTGTGAGTTGCAATTAAAGATTGTCACACGCAATTTATAATGGGAATACAATATAGTTTGTTTTATTGACACTCATGGCTGACAAAATAATCTTACAAAAGAATGTTGAAAGAAATTGTAGAAAAGCCTTTCAAAGCAATTTCAATGACTGCATGATATTCAATTTTGATTTATATCCAAAAAAGAAACAAAAATTTCGATTAATTTCGAGAATCATTTTTCACATGGCTATCTCATACATTCAGCAGTACGCGTATCAAAGTAATGATCTTTACGATATAATTTTCAACCTTAGTTGTTGGAATTTCTTAGATGAAAGGTTTTTATTATTACTTTTGTACAGCTTTTTTCCCTTTCATTGAAACACTCACTGATTTTACATTCTTCGAACGTTAAGTAAACATAAAAAAGTGAAGTGAAAACATACAACGGGGCTCTCACTCAACTTTCCACCGACCGGCTATATTATTACCGCCACGTTTCGTCTCTGTTCTCCTTCGTGTCGGTGTGCAACAAAACCCAGGAAGAGCCCGCTGCAAGTACACGATGAAACGAAAGATGAAAGCAAACGCTTTGGCGAGAAATGAGGAACTGAAAAATAATTTTGAATATATTTAATTGTTTATTCAGAAGTCCATTTGGTGAGTTGGTAGGCGACACACCGGATAACTTTTGACATGTCAGATTAACATATCAGCTATTTACTTGACTCTTTCTTCTACCACTACTCTGCCCATCTCAACATCATGTTACGTGGCTGGCAACAGGAACTACTCGACAGTCTGTGTCCTACCAAAAGCGGACTAGAACTAGATACTTCAATCCTAACTGAAACTGTAAATGTAGACCAGAAACCGGAAATCATCAATGTCCGGTTTGCTGACGCTTGACCCCAAAAGTTTTAATTTATTTATTTATTCTTTTTCCTCTTTCAGTTAAGTGGGTACCGTTGAGAAGGCCCAACTTCACAGACTAGACCGTCGGCCAAAGACCACGAAATGATCGAGATTAAATCACATACAATCCCCTTCTACGTGAGTGCCACAATTATAGTGCACAAAAATTCCAACATAGTTTGAAATTTATTTGTTGTTAGCTCTTTTTGATCAGATCGGTAAGTGACTTAATACAAAATCCAGTCTCATTAGTGACTATTTATTTATTGCAAGTAATATCACATTACGGACGCTGAGCTTAAAAATGACCATAGAACTATAACAAAAAAGAAAATATAGCAATTATTGAAAGAATAATCTAGTTAGATTGAATAATAATAGTTAGTCTTTAATTATGACTCACACTCAGCTATCATTGCACGAATGATATATTACGATAGTGGTTTTCATTGTAGGGCAAAGAGGTTTGATTTCCCTACCCAGTTAGGGGAGGTCCGTGTTTGAGCCAGAATTTTGAATACTTTATATGTTTTTAGGCCGGCAACGCTTTCCAATCTTTTTGGAAAAGTGACCTAACACAAACTACCTCGTTCTGGGTATAAATGAAATCACCTCTTAATTATTGTTGTTGTGGTAGCACCTGTTAGGGTCCCAGCTATGGGCAAATAGTTAAGTCTCAGAATGGGGTCAAAACACTATGAAAATGTAGAAATAAACTCTTATATTGAAGGTGCTAGCAATAGATCTTTGTAAGGAAAAAATATTAACAGCAATAAATTTTTGTAAAATAAATTACTAATTCTCGCAAGAAAAATTAAATTTCGGTATTAAATTACCCATAAGGAGTTGATATGCCGTTAAAAAAACAAACATAAACTACCTTCTTCATTTAGCCTGGTGAGCCACTAAGCTGCGTTTAGTAAATGTTAATAATGTTCTGTGATTTGTGAATTAATTATTCGTACAATGAGATCATTACAATTTTATCTTACGTATCATTTATGTATCTACCTATTTACAATAATATTATGGGATTTCTGTTTCTCCAGTCAATTGTAACTGGTGCTGAAGTTACAAAATGCTAAAATAATCTATTTTTCTTGTTATACAACACATATTTGAAAAGAAAAATACCCTCTAGGCGGGATCAAAAATACCCCGACAGAATCCACTGCGAACGGGTAAGACTCAACAAAAGAAAACATCTTCCGGGTGGATGTTTTCTTGTTGAAATATAAACGACGGCATTTTATTTTTACTTTTGGTTCGAGTATATACAAGATGATTTTTTTTAGCCGAGTATAGACCTTACCAATGTTTAGCTTTTGATTCAAATATAAACGGTACCAAACTATCGATTCACGTATAAAAAGGTTCATTTAACACCTATTGAATCGAGCAGAAACTCTAGTATAAAGAGGGATGACGATTACCTTTTGGTTCAAGTATAAAAAGGTTGATTTGTGACATTTTGAACAGAATAAAAACGAGAACAATGTATACCTTTTGACTCTAGTATAAACGAATTCAATTTTATTCTTTTGAACAAAGTAGAAAGAGGAACAATATATGACTTTTGGCTTTTGTATAAATAGGACCAATTTTTGTTTCTTGACTCAAATTTTCAACATTAAATAACACCAAAGGCATTGATATATCTTAAAAATAACCTTCCTTATATAATGGTGAAATTAATCACTTCCTATACGGAGACATTCGGCATTAATTCAGAAAACTGCCAGTAGAACTTTATAAAATTCTACGTAATCTCAGTCCTCTTATACAGCAGTAAATGCTGAACAAACCCGCAAATGAAGAGACTTGAAAAAAACAGAAACGTGGTTCTACAGAAGGATGCTAAGAATACCGTGGACCGAAATGTGAACAACGACGAAGTTATAGAGAAAATGGAAACAAAAAAAAAAATATACAGGACAGAAAATTGTGGAGACGTGCGGTCCCCAACGTCCTGAAGGAACACGGCACAAAGAAGAAGAAGAAGAAGAAGAAGAAGGAGGAGGAGGAGGAGGAGGAAAAGGAGGAGGAGGAGAAGAAGAAGAAGAAGAAGAAGAAGAAGAAGAAGTAAAAGAAGAAGAAGAAAAAGGAGGAGGAGGAGGAGGAGGAGGAGACATAAAATAAAAGTATCCCATTATTATAATGTTTCGAAAGCGCCGGTATTGAAATATTGCACTTGAACCATACTGTTAGGAATTAGTCAGAAACAGTTAGCAGTTGTCGTAAAATAACCTTGTAAAAAGTTTTGTAGACTAGCAAACACGCATAATCGCATGCCTAGCCATACTGATGAGCGGTGATACAGCCTAGCAGTTTATCTGTGGAATACTATATATATATATATATATATATATATATATATATATATATATATATATATAAACCAAGTATAATTGGTGTATACGGAATGAGTTCCAATAACCAACAGTTACTATTCTTAAAAGAGTGCTCAATACAGAGTAGAGCAGATATAATTACTTATTTAAAAATTATAACATAAATATGCTAAATAATTATATATATATATATATAGAGAGAGAGAGAGAGCAGGTTGTGAATACAGTTCAAAAGTATGAAAACATATTTTTAAACTAAAACAACGTTTTCCCCTTGCGAAGGATCGTTAATTAATTTGAAACTTTTAAAACCATTTATTCTACATTCAACATCATCACTTGATAAGACACCGGAGGTGTTGAAACAAAATAGTTATTTTTGTAGTGATTTTATAACATGTTTATGTTATATATTTTTTTTTAAAATAAATATATATATATATAATGTATTAATGTAAACGTTATTTTTAATAAATGCCGGATTTTAATTTCCTAAAGATTGTCTTTGTTTACGTTAGGATATGAAACAGAGCAAATATGTATATTTCGAGAATCGACAAAGACATATGTTTAAAAGCACTATTCGTGATTATTTAACCAGGTGGTCCTACGTAGCCGAGTGGTCTAAAGCACGTCAGATCTAATAAAGGTTTCTCCTGCAGAAGAGCGCGTATTTTTCTAACAAGATTTCTCGAATATTCAGGCCGGTAGATGTAAATAAATAGACTGTTTAATAAATAAAAACAGAGCCTCTACCCAAATATCTATCCATTAAAAATAACTTTTAAAGAAATAAATTAGAAATATGTCTGATTCCTTCTCTCTCTCTCTCTCTCTCTCTCTCTCTATATATATATATATATATATATATGTATGTATTTACAGAAAAAATTATAGGGGAAAAAAACAAGCATAAGCTCTTAGGAGAGGAAAAAAATGACTGAGATTAGCTGAGGCGTCATGGACCGATAAGCTATCTTATTATATGATAACCATTCAACTTTCCTCTGATTTCTTAATGGTAAAAATCAATAGTCAAGAACTGAGTAGCTGTATTGACAACCAATGAAAACAAAGTTCAGTGCCCATAAAATTGGGCTACATTAGCAGACAGTAAAAATACAACAATAAAATAATGGCAGAAAGAAGAGTGCAGGCTTGGTCAAAAATATTAACACTAAGAGAGTGATACTGTTGCCTGTTCCGCCATTGAAATTGAATTAACAAGCTAATTCCGCCAATCATTGCTATTATAGTGGGTTCAATTTTCACCGATACTCCTCAGTTGTGGCCACGTCTCAGACTAGTTTTTTTTTTCAGTTTCTTGTTAAAATATCCAATCTTCTTAATGTTTATGTATCTAACCAACATTTATTTCAGTTTCAATGGTTTACAAGATTTTGTGGTTGTTTTCTGAGTCTAGTGATACTATCTAAAATACGAATTCGAATTTTGTAGTCTTTTCTATTTTCACGATATATTCCAGTTTTAATCTGCTTGATGACTGGCAAGACATTTGCATAATTCTACGTAGATTACCGCCCCTGTCCAATCATATCTACTTTTCTACTCTTACTAATCGTATTTCTTCGAGTTTCATATTTGTCACTGCCCAGAAAGCATTTAATATTATGTTGCATACTGCCTGTATTAGTTTTAATAGACTTGATTGGAAAACACTTATTCGTTACCGTGAATACTATTGATTCTGCTTACGGCTATATCACGTTGAAACATTGGTCCCTGTACGATCATCGACGTTAAGCAACGCCGAGCGCGTTCGGTAACTATATAGGGGCCACTTGGGAATACCGGGTATAAGTTTTGATGTGGGGTGGTGTAATGGATAATGGCTCAGGATTGGAGAGATGTTTCAATTCCAGTTGGGTTCATTCTATTCACTTACTTGCAAATACCCTGGGAAAAGGTATATATATATATATATATATATATATATATATATATATATTTATGTATATTATGAAATGGATTAATATTATTTAATACATTTTCTGTTTATACGTTATTTTTATAGATATAATTTATTTATAGATACAATTTAAGTAAATGTTCTTAAGTAAAGTTACTTAAATATATCTGTAAAAATAACGTATAAACATATATATGTGTATATGAGGGAGAGAGAAAGAGATATAGAGAAAGAGGAAGTTAGAGGGAGAGAGAAAGAAGAGAAAGAGGAAGCGAGAAAAAGGGCGAGAGAAAGAGAGGGTGAGGTAAAGGAAGGGAGAGTAAAGAAGAGTGAGAGAGAGAAAGACGAAGAGAGAGGGAGGGAGATAGAGAAAGCGTAAGACAGTGAAAAGGGGGAGATAGTTGACAGGGATTAGGAAAAGATTACTTTTGTATTATTTTATTTTTCAGCAAATACTATTATTTTTTCAGGTGAGTTTGCCTCCAAACGCAAGCCTAATCATTCTTCAAGATATCTCCTCCAACGACGACGTATCTTTGACTGCTGCATAGGAAGTACACTCTTCACAGCAGACGGTTTGCATGAGATCATAGACTTCCGGTGTCGTTAACTTTTACCCGAGTCAAGAATTCAATAACAACGTGATACTTCAATTTCTGATTCTAATTTGTCATTGTCAATTGCTTCAATTTACCTTATTCCTTTTGAAATGAAATTTACAAGCGAAATATTGACAGTAGTGAAAATATCCAAATTTTGTGAAAATAATATACAATGTTTGAGGGATAAATTTTCGTCTAAATTACGTAAAAATAAAATAACACTGACATTTCATTTTAACAGATATATTTACCAAAATTACACAGTAAATATCTTGAAATAGTGAAGAGCAAATTTTTCAATAAAAATTTGGCTTCAATCACGGCCTCCAGATGACTTCGGAATCTCTCGCAATTCTTCTGGACGGATCCCATAAGTTGGTGAATGCTGCCATAATCCTTCAGTTAATTTTTGGTGTTACAAGGAGATTTATTGGTCTCTCACTCAAATGCGACCCACACATAATTATCAAAAGGGTTGCAGTCTGGGGAGTTCAGTGGCCAGATGTAAGTTTTGATGTGGTCGCAGAAATTGTCTAACAGCCATGGCTGGGTTCTCCTGCTTGTGTGCTAGAGTGCAGAGTCCTGTTACCAGACATAGGATCTTCCAGCAGTCATGCTCTTGACCCAGGGTAGTATTACCTCCTGAAAACACATGTAGGCGTCCGTGTTGAGTATGAGACCTCTAGAAAGAGCAATGGCGGTATAAAGTCACCATCAATAGTGATCACACCAAACATCTTCGTAATCACCATTAGACGGATCCAACTCTTTTCGAACTCTCTGCATTCTTCTCACATTGACACGCAAAAACTCTGAAATTTTCGCATTGGAGCTTCCGGTGCCAATGTCAAGCAGTACAGCATACCAAATTTCTGGCAGAGGGAATTGCGTCATGGTCCTTTTTTCTCACAGTCGATGCCCTGCTATACTGTGTAGTCGACAAAAACAAACAACCCGCATGCGCAAAATTAAAATGGCTGCCCTGTATATCCACCCTCTTAGTGAATGCTGGATAATCTCCTCAAACATGAAGAGAAAACTAGAGGCAACAGAAATATGGTTTTACACAAGGATACTGAGAATTCTACAATTCTGAGAACGTCTACATTCAGAATCAGCAAGAGGCAGCTCCTTGTACACATAATTTGGCTGGAGGGCCTGGAAAACTTAACTCTCGCAGGGCATATTGAAAGCAAGAGAGATAAAGAAAGACAGCGAATCACCAACTTGAAGAGCTTCGTTAATAGATAGAGGGGCGAAAGGGGAAACTTTTAGCAAAATGAGAAAAACTGCTAAGAACCTGATTCCACTAAGAGCCCCGTCTCTTCAGTATAGAGGAGACGCAGCACACAGAAGAATAATAATATATATCACCCATATAACAAAGAAATCAAATAATATAAATAGGCTCAAAATGTGTGCAAAAAGACGTTTAACAGAGGGACCGGAAACGCACAGGCATCGACTCTGGTAGCTGGGAACATCTAGCAACACAATCGCAGCGGCTTGCACTATGCTATTTAAGCAGGAGTCCCGAAGGTTCGAAAAAAGGCGGAACCAACGGCTGGAAATAAGAAGAGAACGAAAAAAGCAGAGACAGGGTAATGTAAGACCTCCATTTCACATCCCAGCATCATCTGTTACAGCTGCTAAAGAGAGTGTCATGTAAGGATGGATCTGTTAAATCCCTCGAAACGCTGCTTGCAAAAGGACAATGTTTGACCAAAAACTTTGTGCCTTTTTAAATCGGAGACTATGAATATCGATATGTGAAAAATATTTCGTTATCTGGTTCAGTTCCTCACCATCTAGGATTTGTCTAAAACTATTAAAAGTTTTCCTGTCGGATTAAAAACAAAATCTTGCCAGAATATTAGAAAGTTTTAAAAAGAGATATGTTTGTGATGTTTCATTATTTTCGCCGACATTTGTAAACATATTGCTTCTGAGGCGATGGCTAAATCACATTTGCCGGCATTAGATAAAAAAAAATATCACAATCTTGTGAAAATATGTAGAATTAGAGTTTGATACTGAACGTAAATTAAATTTTAGCACAATTGCTTTCTCTGATGAATGGTTAAAATGTCTTCGAACAAATGAAGCCTTGTAGATCTCAGAGAGGATGTTTCCTCTTCGAACCTTGTGGGCCGGCATAACAGAAGTACAATTAAATAACTGCACTAAATAACAGAACCCACAACGCTTGAGGACTTTCAACAATAAAATAAATATCACACATAACTTGA